ATATACAATTTATATTGAGTATGGAAGACCTTGATTAGACTAGTCGAAAGGATCACAAACATAACAAAATCTTATTGAGAGTCTTTTAAGAGTTTCTTCTCTTTTATCTATAAAAATATTTCAATTCTAGTTATATTCAGGGGGTTTGTTCAACCCTCGGGCAATGCAACTTGGGTTGTTTGCTTTTTCTTCGTCGTAGTGACCTTGGGGTTAGGGCGAATTGTAGTTGCTCTTATCTTGGCCTTTTGCGTATCTCCTCACATTTACTTGAGATTATTCCCTCAATGGCAATATATTGATCGATCCTTTGGAGTACCTCGAGTATCGTTGCTGGTGGCCTTTCTATTAATGACCAGAAAAGACGAGAAGACTTGAGTCCCATCAAGAAGACTTATATTACGAGTGACGATGAGCATCTTCAATGCTTCGGATTTCACAAGTGAATCGAGCAATAAAGTCTGAGGGTTTCCTCCTCCCCTTGCCTAAATCCGAGAAACATTATCACAAATGGTCTCGAGTGCACATTCTCGAGGAAGTGAAGTTAGAACTCCCTTGTGAGCTAAACAAAAGAACTGATAGAGAGCGACTTCATATGGGGGTATCATTCTTGTGTTCGGCCTTAACAAGGTTAAGAAAGTATGTCACATTATGATATATGAAGTGTCATATAATGATATTTGGGCACGAAAAGCAACGATGTGCTCCACCGGGTCGATACTATCGTCAAAGTCCTCCAATGATGGGAGGCAAAAATTGGGCATGATCGACTCCTCTTGAATGTCTTAGGTGAATGACGACTGACTTAAGGTGGGGTTGGTCGGTCCTTCTCCTATGGATTATTGGAATTTTCATCACATCTCCTCCAAATGTCGATTTATTTACCATAGCTGGATCCTCAAATAATCATCCATCAAATCTATTAACTAGGTCTCGAATTTAAGTGAAGTAAAATAGTAGTGCGATAGTCCATTGAACTCCATAGTTGAGGAGTGGGGTGCTCCGTTGGTTGACGGTTCGACGGGCCTTGGGCGCTCTTGAGATGTTGGCATTACATTGGGTGGGGGGACCCGACGAGCGCCAGTACCGGTGGCGATTGAGTTGAGATAATGGTGTCAGCGATTGGGCTAGCCAGGGCAAGAGTGAAGCGACAACTTGCATCTTGCCCATTAGCGTCTACATCTGCTAAGTGAGGTTCAAGACATCTCAGCAGGGATGACCAAGTGACTCGGGGTTGCCCTCGGGATAAAAGACTCGGGTCATTGAATATATGCTAGTATCGCATTAGCGTTTGCACCAAAGTGAATGCATCCACTTATAGAAAGGATAATTGCTGCCCCCCTTAAGTAAAAATATTGTGGGTCGAGGGCAATGCCTCCTCACTCAAGCACGCATTAGGAACATTGATAGGTGGACGTTCCTATAACATCAAACCACCCTTCTAATGCCAAAATGATAAGAAAAAATATTATTGACATCTTGGTCAATCTGACATAGGCTAGACTCATATGCACAAAGTTGTCAAAGATGCCTCCAAGGTGAAAACGTTGAACTCTCGAGGTATCACCTACACAATGATCGAGGTTGAGAAAGGATTCCCGACCTAGTCCATCTAACACTTAAGTTAGTAATCTTAAGTCTTCGAGTATAAACGCGAGTGGTCAAAAAAGATCAGACGCCCCCCTATTTCATAAAGATAAAATATTTTATAAAATATTCTTTAAACTCTTGTTTATGTGGGTCGGATGAAACATTTACATGTTTAAACTTAGGACAAGGACATGATATGCATTTAAAGATTTGATAAAAAAAATGTGTGTACTATTTGTTTAATATTATTTTAAGAAATACAAGCATTTTCAATCCAATTTGCTCATAATAAAATGATATTTACCTTTAGAGTTATCAAGTGAGTAGAGAACTTATTATCGTAAATACTTTTACCCTTAATGAACACGGATTGTTCAACAGAAATGAGATTATAAAGGTGAGCCTTGATACAGTTTATAAGGATATTAGCCAAGATCCTATAATTATTATTATAAAGTGATATGGGTCGAAAATGATTTATCAATTTGGGCCAAAACTCTTTTCCTATCTAAGAATTTAAGATATTTCAAAATTTTATTATTAGAGAAAGACACAATTAAGGTTCTTCCATCATTAACATTGATACGAGAAAAGGGAACGAACATCAATCATAAATCCTTTTAAAAATTATAGAAAAAAAAAGTATGGATTATTTCTTTCGACTTCATTATTAAAGCTTTTAATTCCTTTTTTTCTTTAAATAAAAAAAAAACTTCACACAAGCCTCGAATCAAATCAAATCAAATGGTTTGTCAAATGAGCACCCAAGAAATCATTTGTGATGGCGAACCAAAACAAAGAATTATGATAGGTCGAGGGAACAAGGAAGCATATTAACCGGCAAATACACTGCTAGTTGGGCCCCCAGAGGATCAACTGCATCGCCATCTCCGCCCTCTCCTTCTCCCTCACAACCACCGTGCCCTTCCTCTTCCTCTCCCCGCCAAACGAGGCGGCTCCCGCATTACCTGGCGCGCCGTCGGGGGACCGCTGTGCCTCTCTCGCCTCGTCCTGCAGCTTCCCGGCGCTCTTCTTCTGCACCGACCGGAAGGTGGCCTCCCACCTGCAGTCCCGCGCCTTGCACATGCTTCTTCCTTTTTGTTGATGACCGCCCCGCTGTTGAGGCAGACTCGAGCTTAAATGCTCGGCAAGAGCTGCCACAACGTGCTTTGTGGTGGGGGTAGCACAACGTGCTTATTCTACTGTATCAGCCGCTATTTGAATTAATCCACCGGCAGCAACCCACTTGCTCCTTTTATTACTCCCTGTTTACGAACAAAAGTTATGCTTTGCCTTATGTACTTTTGAAGGCAACTCGTTCTGGCGTCGCCCATGGCTTACGCACCTTCCTGTGGACATCCGAGTCCACAATCAGAGAGAGAGAGAGAGAGAGAGAGAAGAGTTTCGCCTCGTTCAAGGTCTGTTTGTGTACGTTTATTATGCAAGTCAGCGACAGGAGACGCAATGACTCGTCGTCACATGGATGTGAGGTTGCATCACCTGTTTCTCCGCCGATCTGAGGTGTGCATGGACGCTTGCTAGGATTTAAAATGGCCGAATTGAGCTATCGCCGAGGGCCGCTTGTCATTTCGTCGAACATGGACAGGTGAGCCTGACTTTGAGGAATCGTACTACGCCGCGTGACCGAGGCAGTCGAGTTCGTGCCGAGCACGCTGTCTGCGGTGGTTTACCGCCTTCACTCGCCTATTGGTTTCAGTCCACCGTGATCCAAACCCACCATTTTTGCTGCTGGTTTCGGTCCATGGCTACTTCAGGTGCCCGCACAAGTTTCATGGTTTTGCACTACCTAGCAAGCCGAGCAAAACCTTTTTCTCGTGTTCCATCGCTGGTAATCAAAACCCAGCTGCAACTCATCCACAGTTTTGTATCCCTGTCGGTAACAGCCAGCTGCCAGCTGCGAGCTGCGCTTTATATGGACTCGCGGCTCTTCTCCCTCATTGTCGTCTATCACCCACCCAAAGCTCCAAGATCACACAAAAGCCCTTTTCACTGCCATCTCCTCGGAGATCCAGAGCAGCTCAGCGGTAACAAGCAAGCATGGCTTCGGCGAGCAAGACTTCGTTGATGGTCGCAGCGTGCGTGGCGGCGGTGGAGGCGCTCAAGGACCAGGCAGGGTTGTGCCGGTGGAACTACGCGCTGAGGTCCCTCCACCACCGTGCCAAGCACAGCATTGCGCCGTTCTCTCAGACCAACAGGATGTCTTCCTCCATCGATAGGTGGAGGAAAGGAGGGGAGGGAGCGGTGGAGAGAGCCAAGCGCACCGAGGAGTCCATGGCCAAGATCATGTACCTGGACTGCTGGGGACCCAAATAAGACGCAATTACTTGTTGTTGAGGTTTCTATCATCTCTATTACGATGAACAGATTTTGCAGTGAATGGTGAATTTTTTATGGAGTTCATGAAATGGAATTATGATATATTTTTATTTATTATTTTTATCTCTCATTTAATTCTAACAACCATTGTTTATTCACATATATATATATATATATATATATATATATATATATTAATACCACCGTATAAACGTATATTTTACTCGTATACAAACGCATATTATACATACAGGACAGAAGAACCTTACCCAGGTACGTGCGTTGGCACACGCCGCCAATCTACTTCGCTGTGTCGCGTTCAGTCAAGTGGAAGCCAATAAACAAACGGCATTAGCCGCTGGTATCGGGGAAATGGCAACGGAAAGCACAAAACCAGCAGCAGCGCACTCCTGTTCTCTCTGTCCCCCATTGATCTTATCCTCTTCAACCATTGTGGCCTTATATATTGCACGCGATTCCCTTCCCACTGCTGCATCAAATCGAGAGTGGGGAACTAGGAGCTACTTCCTCTTTGCACTCACACTCGGGAGGTATTGAAGAGATGGGTTGTGCAAGCACGGCTTGTTTGGTGGTGGCAGCGAGCATGAGCGCGGTGGAGGCGCTCAAGGATCAAGCGGGGCTGTGCCGGTGGAACTACGTCCTCAAACCCCTGCAGCAGCGGGCGAAGAGCAGCATGGGGTCGTTGTCTCAGGCCAAGAGGACATCTTCCTCCGTCGACAGGAGGAGGAGAGGGTGGCAGGCGGCGGCGGAGAAGGGGAAGCAGTCGGAGGAGGCGCTGAGAACAGTCATGTACTTGAGCCGTTGGGGTCCCAATTAGAGGATCCTTTTGCTTCAGCTTACTTCTCCTCTGTAAATTATCCGGCTTTGATGATGTATATAAAACCATTTCTTCTGAATTCCTAGGGCATGCATGATGGATGATGCGTTTTCATGGCTTGGATCAAGCAGGGTGCCTGTGGGAAGTGTATTTGAGGGTTGGTGACACTTATTTAATTAAGTTTATGCATTTCAATATTACCTAACAGAGGAGACTAGAGTAAAGAGAACTATTGATTGATGTCGTGAGAGGTGTGTTTGAGGGGAGGGGGGGAGGCGGTCTAGATAACTATTGATTGATGTTGTGGGAAGTGTATTTGAGGGGGAGGAGGGGTTAGGGGTTTAAGGTGTACTCGTATGAATCCAATAATGGATGATTGTTATATTGGTTTATATTGATGAAGGAATAAGATTTTGAAAGAGAAAGATGTAACAAAGATAATATGACGTGATATAAAGATCTTTTGAGTTTTAGAATTATAACATCAAAGATATAAAGTTTGAATCTTGGTGTTAACTTATGTAAAGTATAAGGACGTAGTAATGAATAACATAAACAATCAAATACTTTGAGTTTTTAAAAATTTATAATTTTATAAAATAATTTTTTAAATAACTGGTGTTGTAGGATTAAAGGTGAGTATACAGTTAATGAGGTAGACTATAGTTTGAAAGATTATTGATCAAAAGATTAGCAGCATAGATGCTTAGTGTATGAGGGTGAGACATGTTTCAGTTATGTGTCTGTGTTTTCATTTAGCAAAGCTAACTAGTTGAGAGGTAAGTCATCATAGCTTAGTATTCACCTCTTTCGTTAAAGTAAATTATTTTAATAATAGCTTAGAAGAAATTCTCGATCACTTTTTTAAAATAAGTAAAAACTATGATAACTTCATATGTTTGAGGGAATATAGTAATATATATTTAGTAAAATAATTTATAAAAATAACATAAAATCTAAAATTATTAAAGGAATTGGTTAGAATAAGGCCTTAGACATTAGTATAAATAATTTCAAGTTGTTTGGAGTATAATATGGAAGACATTCCAAAAGATAGTATGTGATTTTTATTACTAAGACAAGCATATTACAATTCTACTTTATTTGGAAATAGAAAGGGAGAAATTAGTTATCATTGAATAATGTATGATGGATGACGAAAGCGATGATGTCACACATCGATCGGAGTAGTAATTGAAACAAAAGCGATTGGTTGGGTGATTTATGAAGTTAACGGTCACTCACACTTGTTATTTTATTCTAGTCTCGAACCAAGGATATTCTTGGGCTCAGATCCTTTACAAGAAATAAGTAAAAAAAATTAATAAATATATTATTTTATTTATAAAATAAAAAAAAGATTCCTTTTAATATGATGTATACATAAAATATCATTGAGTGTAAAAGTGTTTATATATAGATTAAGTATCGTGAGACCAGTGTAAGTAATAGAGATTTTATTACTATCACCAATGATAATATCTTCATTGCCTCTATAGTCGTTGTGAATAAATAAATTCTATAAATTAAATGTGATATGATGAGAAGTATCAGAGTTAATAATTCAATTACTTGGATGAGCAGTCAGAGTAGCCATGATGTTTGCTTGAGGCCAATTAGGTGTAGTAGTGGACTTGGGTCCAAATCAATAAACTTTTATTGCGTGCCCAATTTTATCATAGAGCTAGTAGATGACCTTTTGCTGATTGTTATTGTCGGGATGCCAAAATTATTGATAATTATAATTAAAGTTATTTTTTGAGTTGTTTGGATTGAAGTTGCCACTGTAGCTGTTGCTTTAATGGTATAACGGAGGATGATGGCTTTATATGTTACTCATATGTCCGGGAGGCATCTTGTTTGGTCCTTTATTGAAGTTCTTGTTGCTTTGATTACTTTTTCTTCTAGATTTTTAATTGAATTGTGTTGTGATAGTTGGTCTCATCTCTGTCCTTGTTTTAAATATATTTTATGATCAATCAACTTATTATATAATTCTTCAAATATATTTTCTAACTACTCAACTTGAGATCATGTCCTCAGCGGATACATAGTGATTAGCCCTTTGCAGCATTTCGAACATGGTTGTGAGCATTTTTTCCACTAGTGACTAGACGAAGCATGTACGCCTCAGGCCCATCATGAAAGTCTGGGTCACCAACGAGGGATGGGCATCTGGGATCCCTCGAATCTCATCGATAAATTGATCGACGAAGTAGGAGAGAAGCTCATCTTCCCTCCATCTCAACCCGAGCAGCATGGCTATGGATGGCTTTGGGGGCACATTAGCGAGAAAATGGTGCTCAAATTCTTTTGCAAGCTACAGGAAGGAGGTGATCAAGAGGGGTTTCAAGCGACTATAATACTCTTGAGCTGGCCCACTTAGGGTCGTGGGAAATGCCCAGCACATTAAGGTGTCTGATGTGTCAAATAATGACATCTGAGCCCTAAAGGCTACAATGTGCTCCATTGGATCAGAGCTGCTATTGAAGGCCTCTAGCAATGAGGGGCAGAAGTTAGCCAAAATGGGCTCCTCTTGAATGCTTTGAGCGAATGGGGAGGCATTCGAGGTGTCATATTCATCCTTTAAATGCAGAAATTCTTTTTATACATTGTTTAGACGCTGGTTCAAGGCCCGAAGTTATACTTTGAGTGAATTCTCGATCGAGTTAATGAACTATGACCCCGATCTGGCCATGGACACCTTGCGATACGATGGGACACTGAGCTCTATTATCGAGGGTATTTACGCTTCGAGAGCCACCTTAGCTTGGTGATGGCATTTCAGGGGCATTTGTTGGGAGCTGGCTGGGGATACTCCTTAAGGCAAGTCGGCGAGCAGGGGTTGGATTGCTGGCCGTAGTGTCGAGGCTGCCTACTATATTAGTTGGGTTAGGAGAGGGGCAATCACCTACATCATACCGACAAGTGCTTGCACTTGATATGTGAGTCTTAGGAAGGCATCAAATGGGTTGAGTAGGTGTCCCGCACTCAATCCCAAAGATCGTTAAACATATGTCAATGACATCTCGGTGTTTGTGCCAAGGTGAAGGTGTCCACCTGAGGGAAGGACATAAGTTGTCCTTCCCGTCCGAAGGCATCAAGTACCAGTGGCAACGCTTCTTTACTAGAGTATTCTAACACGAACGATCGTCGCACACCCACACAACTTCATTCAACGAACCGTTCGTCACTTTTGCATATATGTATAAATGCTTGGCAACATATTTTGCCTTGGTTTTATGTGTTTTTGCTATAAAAATGTATATTCGAATAGGTTCAGTGTTATAGTGCAACCACTCGTTGTGTCGGGCAAAACTGTCCCAAAATGACTTTATTTTCATATGCCATAGGTTGTTTTCTATAGCCCGTTACTACACGTAAAATGTCAGCCATCTCAGCATCCTAGAATCCCCCGGGTGGCACCAAGGGAAATGGAGCTTTGGGGTAGTGTCGGGCATTGAAAAATCTTCATAAGTTTGTATGTTAACTTGACGGGGACTTGCCTTTGCGCCCAACACCCGGTGAGCAGTTGTTTATGGACTTGCAACTATTCCTTCAACTTTTTAAAGTCCTTGTTTTTCTCATTCCTCTCTTTTCTCCCATGCACATAAGGTGCTCATTGAATTGCTTATAAAGCTTCCCTTTTTATGAGACGTGGGGACTTGTCCGTCACTCGTTTTTGAACTAGTTCACTTTTTTTTTTACAGGTCTTTCAAGGCCTGAGTGAGGTTGCAAATTGATTGACCCTTTGTGGCCGCATATCGTTTGGGCGCGTTATGACTCAAGCAATCCCAGCTAAGTTTGAGAAATTGGCGCAAGGGTGTTTTACGACTTAGACAACTCAAGCTAAGTCTAAGACTTTGCCATAATAGTGCCTCATGGCTTAGGCAATTTCAGCTAAGTTCATGATAGTTCATCAGGGAAAGTCGTGGATGAATATTCTTGCGACATTCGGGCCCTCCTTTCAGTGCTAAAATGTCGTTACATTAGTACTATTGACCGGAGAGTTAACACAACCTGGTTCGATCCCGAAGGTGTAGATCCATCCTTGGGGTCCGCACCTACATGGATGAGGCGACTCGAGTGAGTAGCCGAGGTGGCAAGTGGACTTCCAAAGCATTGTTGGCTTATGGTAGTTGACTCACGATCGTCCCAAGGTGCAACTTGTCTATTGGTAGAAGTTTTAGGTCATCTCGAGGGGTGTCTTGGCCTTGTCTAAAAGCGCTCAGCATCACTCTGAGGTGCTCCTTAGATATGCATGAGCCCTGCACAAGCGATCGACATTGGAGGATGTCCCGACCCGATCCCTCCGACACCGAAGTTAGTATAGTATGTGAAGGGGGTTTAGTAGATCTTAGAAGAGCTGAGATAGAGTCTGCCTGTCCCCGTTTGGCTTAGGGGCTTGGGTTTTATACCTGAGTGATTGATGGCGTAAAGCCAATGATGGGTTAGGGTGTCCCTTACCCTGCCAAGGGATTATCGATTGTGGTAGTTGACGAGTGCATCCTCTAAAGAATGACGTCAGGATAGGACATCTGTGATTATATGTTTTGTTAGGGCTCTTGGCTTGTCCGAGATAGGCGGAGGATGGCTTCTTGTGTCGCCGTATCGTTTTGCTTCAATACATGCATGTAGGCCTTCTCTTATGGTTGAGGTGACTTCTTTAATCAAGATGATGGGATGAGTTTTGACCGGATTATTATTTATCCTATCAAAACCAATATTTTCCTCATATGCAAACGCATATTATGCATACAGGTCAGAAGAACCTCACCCAGGTACGTGCGTTCGCACACGCCGCCAATCTACTTCGCTGGGTCCAGTTCAGCAAGTGGAGGCCAATAAGCAAATGGCATAGAGCCCCTGGTTTGGGGGAAAAGGAATCGGAAAGCACAAACCCAGCAGCGGCACTCTCCTCTTCCCTCTGTCCCCCATCCATCTTATCCTCTTATCGTCTTCAACTATTGTGGCCTTATATATTGCACACAATTCCCTTCCCACTGCTGCATCAGATCGAGAGAAGAGAACTACAAGCTACTTCCTCTTTGCACTCACTCGGGAGGTATTGAA